AAGCACAACTAGATCAGACCCTTATGTTTGGGTGTTGACCTTTAACCATTTGCTTCATGCTGTAGTCTTGATCAGATATGAGTCTATGGCGCTATTTGCATTGGGAAGAACTTCCATTGGCCCAAGTTGGTGGTGGGGTTGGGAACCAGAAAACTAGTAGGGGTGTAATGGAGTACCCTGGAATAGGGCATGGTTGGGTGATTGGCTGGAAGCCGAAACAGGAACATTCCACACCAAAATATATTGCCTCAGATCCCACTTATGTTAGAAAAATGACAGTCTACCCACAACAGAAAACTGTGTTATCACAAATTGTTCCTTAATTCTTCAACTCTAAAATTAAAAATTATCAGGAATACATTCAAGGAATTCACAGCTGCCTCTAGAGATCTAAATGTGTTTGTAGAAAAAAAAAATCTGTTGGAGATCTATAAACCATATTTAAAGTACAATTTGAAACATTAAACACAGTTACATTATTTTCATTAGCACACGAAAGCTCATACCAAGAACTAACTTAGTTGGTCTTTAAGGTGCTACTGGAAGGAATTTTTTTTGTTTTGACTATGGCAGACCAACACGGCTACACATCTGCAAACAGCTTCTAGCGATGGTTAATTTTCTCCTTCCAGTAATAGCGTATTATAGTTTTCAGGGGCTTTTTTAGATTCCCAATTATAGAAATTGTTAATAACTACCATATTTGTAGGCTACTGTTTCCAAACAAGCTCAAAGAGTCATGAGTGGATAGTTTTTGTAGCAACTTACTGATCTGGAGGTGAAAGATAGTGGCTGTTCAAAGAATATACTCTCACACCACACCAAGGTAATAATGCTAAAGTTGCCTACCAAATAATGGTAAAGTTGCCTACCAAAGCAAAAACATAGCTGATGAAGAATAAAGTGAAGAGTACAAGTTCAACCCTTTTAGTTCCAGTGAATGCTAATAGGATGAATTCAGTCACATTCCTTGTCTGGTTCCTCATTGTAATGTGCAGCTGAAAGAGTCACTTGGGATAATGGAGATACAGAAAAATAAAATGTGCACCAGAAAGTGGATGGCACATTAGTAGAAAGAAGAAGGGAAGTAGGAGAGAAAAGAGAACCATTCTGCCACCCTCTCTCTTTGCAAATATAATTTGCACCCACAGTGTCTCATGGAATCCTAAATTCCCCATCCTTATCCTTTGCTCCCTCTTATCTTCCTTGATTTGTTTGTGAAAGTAAGAATTAAATCACATTACCATGGATGGTCTCATTTACATACATTATTTTTATCTGTCTTGCCTCATTCAGAAAGCTATAGAGATTCATACTGGAGACACACGCCTCACAGTCATATTTCCAGTTTGACAGCAATAAGTAATTTGTTCATTCAGGGTCATATTGCTGTTTTCAAGTTTCTTTTATAACTGTTAGTTTTGTAGGATATGGAACTATTTTAATATTTGAAGCAGTTGGAGGAGGATAAAACTTAAATACCCTTTTAATTTTTTTAAAGTTGCAGTTTAAGTATTATAAGAATTAAGCAGCCACCAACCTGTGTTATGCCCCACTCTTCTTTTCTTAATGATAGAGACTGAACCAGTACAACTCTGTTTCCTGCAGAATATATGGGAAAAAATTGTTCATCATTCAGCAGGTATGCATCCGGAGGACGATTTCTGTTCTCATCCTGAAGTTCTTAACCTGAAGCACTATTTCTGGGTTAGCAGAGTCTGTAACCTGAAGCGTATGTAACCTGAAGCATATGTAACCCAAGGTACCACTGTATCTACTTGCACTTTGATGTGCTTTCGAACTGCTAGGTGGGCAGGAGCAGGGACCATACAACGGAAGCTCACCCCGTCATGGGGATTCGAACCACCAACCTTCTGATCGGCAAGCCCTATGCTCTGTGGTTTAACCCACAGCGCCACCCGCATCCCTTTTTTTAACTTAGGGAAAGGCAAAAAACAGCAACAACTGAGTTAATGAAGGCCAAAAATTTGAACCTCAGTTTGTTTTGGTAGGGTACATTCTTTTCTGTATGGGGTCACCCTTGCCCTGAAGTTGCAGTTGTGCTCCTTACAGGTACACTTGGATCAATTACTGTCCTTAGATGCACAAATGGCATGTGTTTTGTGGAGTGCTTTCTGGATGGACATAGACTGACTTCAATGTTCTGTGCTCTGATAAACCCTAGGCTAGATTACAGCAGCTGCGTTACACACGGAACTGCCTTTAAACATAAGAGTATATGAAGCATGTGCTGGATAAGGCCAAAGTCCTATCTCATCTAGCATTCTGTTCTCCCATGGCCAAGCAGATGCCGATGAGAAGCTCACAAGCAGAAACTGAGTACAGAGCACTCCCTGGTCTGTGATTCCCAGCCAGAGGCATATAGTCTCTGATAGTGAAGACCATTGATAGTGTAGAAGCTGCAGCTAGTGCATAATAAAGCAGGTGGATTTCTGATCGCCTCTAGGCAGCCAAAACATTCACTTTCTTCTTCTTTCTTCTTCAAATCACTTTTGCAGGAGTCAAATTTGGAGAAGTGATCATGTAATTGGTCCACTGATGTAACTTTCCTTACATAATGATACCTCTGAAACCTTTCTAGGAAGAGCTAAAGCAGTAGCAGTTGAAGACCCAAGAGATGTTATGGTCTCTTGCTATATTAAATTTAGGCAACAGCTTCAAAGACCACATGGGGAAGCCAGAGTTGACTGCATTTAATCACAGAAGTAGGCTAATGTTCTCTCCTACTTATTACAGTACCAGTGATCACATCAAAGCTGTATGTACATTAGATTTATGAAGGTCTTGGTGAAATAGAATCTCAGATCTTGGACACATCAGGTATTTATGGTGCACTTTTTATTTTATTTATTTTATTTTAAACACGTATCAATTCAAGAGGTTCAGGCTTGCTTCTCAGACAATGGTATGACAACTAAAGTGAAGCATTTTGTTTTAATGGCACATTTCAGGTTCTACCATTGACATTATGGGACTTTAATTTGCTTCCTTCAGACTAGATTCTCAATCTATCTATCTATCTATCATCTATCTATCTATCTATCTATCTATCTATCTATCTATCTATCTATCAGAATTGTGTCTACTTAAACACATTTAGTGTGAAAGCCACAGAAAGTCCTGTGAGATTGGGCAATGGCTTTTAGATTCAATAATTCATTAAAAATTATTGGACAAACAATGAGGGCAGATCAACATACCAATTGAACCATCTAGGTACAGATGCATTGTACTGCTAAATAATACATGGGGGACATAACATATAGGATAAACAGTAAATTTTCATATGTGTTGAATATATTTTTGTTTTGTTTTGGGGAAAACTAGGCTTGTCTGCTGCATAATTGCCTTCCAAAGAAGGTACATATCCTTCGCTAAAAGGCATTAGACCACTTCTAATTGCTTCTTTGTTGAAACCTTTGTTGTTGTTCTAAATAGTCACATCTTAGTGGACACAATCCCACTGACTCCAGTGTCAACACAGAAAAGCAAAGTGGGAGAGCTGCTTTGCAGCCCCTTAAATGGAATCCATCTGTCTCTTCTACAACAGGCACAGATGACTCAAGAAACACTGTGGTGGTGGTGGGCGGCTCCCAGCAGAACAGTAAAAACAATATTATAATAGTGATTTTTGTTATATCTCAGCCTATTCCTAATAATGAAGAGCAGGGAGGTGGGGAAGTGAAGAGAGATACATAGATGTCCAGATTAGAAGAACAGCATGGAAAGCAGAGTGTGATTAAAATGGAAGCAAAGGTATAGAAATTACCATTTGATAGATGTAATCTGCATATGGTTGGAAACTATTGAGCCCAACTGTACTCCCTCAGTGTTCTTATTACTGACATGCATGTTGCTGCACAGCAGGTAATGTTAGCCTTCTTATGTACGAGAATTAATTTTCAGGTCAGGAGTTTAATTTTTAGGGTGCAAGCAGAGGCAGTTCTAAGGAAGCGTGACTGGTTCAGCCACATCAGGTACGGAGCATCTGGGGTGTCATATCAGATACCACCACTATTATGCCCAATGGAAGGCAAGAGGTGGGTGCGCATGATGGATTTTGATGTCACACAGGGTGCCACTGATGCAAGGTCTGAATATAAAACATGGAGGCAAGCTGAGTCAGTAAAACACACTCCCTTTAAAAAGTTGTGCACTTGTTTCAATTAAATGTCACAATTATTTTAAAGACATTTTGCAATGTCTTTCCCATTAACTGGGGGAATGACCACTATGGTCTGTGCAGAATTCATCTTAGTTCCGGTTGATAGGATCATCACCTAACACATGGCGCAGCCATTTACCAATGGTGAATTCTCATGCCTGTGTTGAAACCTCTACAAACTGTGATACAGTGTTGTGAGTTTCACTACCACACATGCAGTCAAGCACATCAGCCACCACTGATGTGGAGCATTGCTGGGGAAACTCATAACATGATGGTGCTCTGTCATATAGAGAATGCTTAGGGAAGAGTGGCAGATCAATGGTTCTTGTGGTTGAGCACATGTAATACATGCCAAAGAAACCACAGATTTATTCTTTGTAATCTCTAGTTAAAATATCCCAGGTGGATTTTTAATTTTTTTTAGCATGATGGTGGTAAATTCTTTCTGCAGAGTTTCTGGCATTCAGAGTAGACAATATTAAACTAGATGGATAAACATAAGATCACAGGAGGGCATAAGAAGGCACTGCTGAATCAGGCTCATGGCCAGTCAAGCCCAGTATTCTGCTTTCCAGTCGCAGCAGACAAGCAGATGCCTATAGGAAGTCCAAAAGCAGGACACAGATAAGATTTTTTAGGACCAAATTTAAGTTCCTGAAAATTTTCACAAGGTAAAGTGACCAAAAATAGAATCACCCATACACTTTGAACATTGTGAAGAAATAAAGTGATAACCAAATGAAAATGTGGAGAAAATGAAATGAAAAAAATATTATTTCCTCCCTCCAGATATTTGTCACAAGTCTACAGAATGGCGGTGGATAACTTCACAAGCAGAGTTACAGAATTTGTATTTGTAGGAATGTCACAACCTTCAGAATTTGAACAGTTTTTATTTTTTCTGTTCCTGATAGTTTATATAGCTACTTGGTTAGGGAATGTCACCATTATAATCACTGTAATATCAGACCACCATCTCCACATGCCCTTATATATTTTCCTGGCCCACTTGGCTTTTCTGGATGTTAGTGAATCTACAGTAACTGCACCTAAATTGCTACAAATGCTCATTTCCAAGAACAAAACCATCTCTTTCCATGGATGTTTGACACAGATTTTCTTTTTTCACTTCATTGGGGGTACTGTCGCTTTCTCTCTTACAACGATGGCAGTTGATCGATATCTAGCTATTCACAAGCCATTGCAATACATGATCATCATGAACAAGAAAACCTGCTTTGGCATCATTTTGTGTTCATGGCTAGGTGGCTCCATTCACTCCATGGTCCAGGTAGCACTGATCCTGCAGTTACCATTCTGTGGTCCCAACATACTGGATAATTTCTACTGCGATGTTCCACAGGTGGTCAGATTGGCCTGCACAGACATCTATACTGTTGAACTACTTCTGGTCTCCAACAATGGACTTGGTGTGACAGGAACCTTCATTGCTTTGCTGATTTCATACATCATCATCTTGTTCAAGATAAGAAATCACGTCTCAGAAGGGAAGCACAAAGCTCTTTCAACATGTGCAGCCCAGATCACAGTAGTGAGTTTACACTTCATCCCATGTATCTATATTTATGACCAGCCCTTCAAGACATTTACAGAAAATAAGGTGGTCTCCATCCTCTACACAGTTATCAGCCCAGTGGTGAATCCAATCATTTACACATTAAGAAATACAGAGATGAAAAATGCTATAAGGAGGCTAGTGAGGAAAGTGCTGAGGTTTTATCAGAAAGATTCAAAACTGTAAATGTTATTTTTATGTATATTGATTTTAAACATCCTTGCATATTGCTTTAAACTTATTTAGTGAAGAAATTACAAAAAAATAAAAAATAGATTTATATTATATATTATATTATATTATATTATATTATGTTTTTGCCTAAATGCCCTGGAAAAGAGAACTGCATTTACCTGGCACTGAAATTATGAGAAGTGGGGTTTTCTGGGGAAAGCATTTTAAAAAAAATAATAATAATGAGATACGACGACCAAAAGGGCCTGATCTCTTGTCACCACCTTCTGGACCTCCCTCAACAGTGGCACAAAGAGAAGCGTTTCTCATGATGATGTCACAGTCCGAGTAGTTTTACATAGGGAAAGTCAGTCCTTGGGGTCCTGGGCCACATAAGGCTTTTAATATCTAAACACCTCAAATTTGGCATGGACACAAATGGGCTGTCAGTGTATAGGCAGGCCGTAAATTATATTTACAGTTAAGGACATGATGAGTTGGACTTATGTAATTATTATTATTATTATTATTATTATTATTATTATTATTATTAATATCCCACGCTCCCCAGCCAGGACCAGGCTAAGGGCGGCTAACATCACAGTATATAATACATTAAAACATAATGTAGGCCCTTTCCAAAAGTTGAAAATAATTGAATGAGTAATTCTAAAAACAAAAATGAAATTTGCAATGCCTGAAGGTGCAGCTTCAGGGTAGAGAGCAATAAAACAAGAAAGACTCACTGTGTTCTGTATAAGAATTAATGCATGGGTACTCATCTAAAGTACTGATCTGCCCCCTGTCACTATAGCAGTGTTAGTCTTGATATTTTATTCTGTTTTTAGTTTATTGCTGATTTTATTTTTTAAAATGTTTTCAATAGTTGTTTTTAACCCCTTTTACTGTTAATTTTGTTGTTTTATTTTCTTCACAAACTGCTTTTTACAACCAAGTGGTGCGTAAATCTGTTGCCATGAAAGAGGCAGGGTGCCACAGGGTCATGAGGGCCTTCTTCAAAAGGTTACTCAGCTGTAAGCCTCAAGGGATTGCATGATCTAATGGGGTTATAGTAAAGGTACAGCTCTTTGACCTTTACTCCTGACCATGTGGTCCAGTCGTGACCGACTCTGGGATTGCGGTGCTCATCTCGCTTTATTGGCCGAGGGAGCCGGCGTACAGTTTCCGGGTCCTGTGGCCAGCATGACTAAGGCATTGCTCTCTGAGCTTTAGATAACCTTATTTGCACTTGCAGTGGTGTGGAGAGGTCTTTGTGCTTATTGTTTAGCAGCACTTTCTACAAAAACCCCATGGTGACATTCTCTGGATTCTATGAAGTGTTGCCAGGCTCTCAGCCTCTTTGTGAACAGCCCTGCGTGGTTGCACATGTTTGGAAGACATTTTTTATAAAGGTTGGAGTTTGAAAATGACCCTCCACCACTTGAGATATTTACCATGACAAGTGCAATTTCTTGCCCCCACCATCAAATTATTTCCAAAGTTTCCCTCTCTTTGGCCCCCTTCAAATATCTCCTTGTTTTGCTGCCAAAGCGTGTTCTCCTTCATGGAGAGCACGTGTTGCGTTGGGGGCCGCCAGGACACTCTAAAGTTGGGGGTCGGGCTAATTGATTGTTGGCCACTGATGCGATTGGGACTTCCCTTGTTGTTGGGAAGAAGTTAATGTTGCCATTTATTGATTGACAGCCAGAAATACTAAAACTCCTTGCACGGGGCTAGGGCTTCCTCTTTTCGCCCGTGCATCGGATTGCCCCTCCCTCCCTCCCAGAATAGGGTTGTTCGCTTTGACCTTGTATGCCTGTCATGGGGTCGTCTGCTTTGGAGTGGGGGCCTGGTAGGAATTTTGTCCATCTGGCTGATTGGCTGGGGCCATTTGGTTTTTGCCTACTGCGTAGCAAATCGTCACAACTTGTAAGGTTCGCAGTTAGGCATTGGTTTATGGTTTGGTTGGTTGAGGGGCATGGATTCCGTCAAAGGAACTGGGGGCTAACTATTGCTTGTCCACCCTGTAAAGGGGGCTCGGGCCATAGCAATGATCTCCTGGTTGCATTTGGGGTGAGGGCAGGTTCCCTGCTCCGTTGCTACCCCCAAGTGTATTCCCCTATTCTGACTTTTGCATCGTGTGGAATGTCAGCCTGTCCCCCATGGTGGGGGCAGATAGTCGCAACCAATGCCTAAGCAACCACTCACAAATTTGTTGTGGCCAAAATTATGCCAAAAATCTTAAACAAAAAATTCTGTGTGATGTGTGAGTTGTTGGGGTGGACCTGGGGACCTCGTCACGCAACAGCTCAAATGGTCAAAAACCCCGTCCTTTTTCTATACAATTTTTGACCCATTAAGGCTTAAGCAAATAAAAGTGCACAAATAATCTTTGGTGGGACACCAGGGTCTTGTTAAGCCTTGTCTTTATGCTGTGTACACTTGATTGTGGGATGGTGACAGTGAGGGGTTAAGCACTTGGGATGCCATACTTAAACTTCAGACAGTATTTCACTGCATTTTCCTGATGTTTTATTACCTGATAATTTCCATGTTTTATGTGATCTTTCACATGATGTAAAAGTCACTTCTGAAAAACTAGCAGAATCTGTTTAGCACTGTTTAGCAGAATAAGTTTAGCACTCATTTCCATGTTATTTGCTTCCATAAAAAAATCATTTGCAACTCTGAAATCAGAAAATCACAGGAGTTTTGTGTTGCGTGCTGAGGTCCCCCAAAACACCCCTACCCCAAATAACTCACACATTACGCATGATTTTTGTTTAAGGTTTTTGGCATAATTTTGGCCACAACTTTATTATCATACAAATTGTGAGTGGTTGCTTAGGCATTGGTTATGACTAGCTATCCCCCCCGCCTTGGGGGATAGCACTGACTCCCGGATTCCAGCGAGAGTCAGTGTGGAGGAACAAGACCAGGGCAACTGGGGCTGCGACACAGACCCTTCAGTTCCTCCCCGCATGCTCCTTGGGGTCTTACGCGGCCCGCACCCGATTCCAGGGGTTTGGACAAGGGGATGGTAAGCCCCAGAATTCCTTTAACGGAATTCCCGTGCAGCAGCAGCATTGGAGGGGCAGGCCCAGCCTATCCATACCCCTCCACCAACCAATTTAACCAATGCCTAACCGCCACAGAGCCTTAGCTCACCGCCAAACCACTCACAAATGCAACCCTTCCTTCAATCCCAAAGCAACCATAGCCAACCAGGTGTCGTTCCCTATAGGGGAAAGATGCACCCTAAAGGGGGCAGCAGCCTTGAAGGTAATCACAGGGTGCAAAATTACGAAACCACCTGAAGCAAGGACCTATTTTTACTTTATTTTACTTTATTATTTTTATTTTATTTTATTTTATTTATTTTTTATTTTATTTTACACTTCCTTATTAACATGCTTTCCAGCCTCTTCGGTGGTAGTTTGTCTAAGCATTGGTTCCCGACCAGCTGCACCTGACCTCAGCAGGGCAGCACTGACGACTGGGCCCCACCATATCGACAGTACCAGCAAACATTGTGGGGGAGCAATGAATCCCAAAGCAACCGCATCCAGCCAGGTGTCGTACCCCATAGGGGAAAGATGCACCCCATCTGCCCTAAAGAGGGCAACAGCCTTGAAGAAAATAGCAGGGTGCAATATCACAGAACCACCTAAAGCAAGGACCTATTTTATTTGTTATTTTATTTTATTTACTTTATTTATTTTATTTTATTTTCCACCACCATATTAACATGCTTTCTGGCCTGCTCAGTGGTAGTTTGTCTAGGCATTGGTTCCTGAATAGCTGCACCTGACCTCAGCAGGGCAGCACTGACGACTGGGCCCCACCATATCGTCAGTACAAGTAAACAGCGTGGGGGAGCAATGAACCAGGATCAGACTCAAGCTCACCCCAAATGCTCCCAGGGACTCTTGCGTGGCCCTACCCCTCGAAAGGGGTTGACATAGCATGGCAAATCCTTGGTTTCCTTTAATGGAATATCTTTGCGCATTGGAGGGGACAGGTGCTCCAACCCCCCCTCCAGACCACCTCGAACCAATGCCTTAATTATTTTGAGTCCAGGGAGAGCTGCCATCAACTCAAACCAAGCACTCTTGCATGCAGGAATGCAAACTTATGCTGGAGGAGACAGCAAAACATTCTCGCCTAGCTGTACCACCAGCACTGCGGGAGGACCTGCACAGGTCACACTCGACCGCATCAAAGGAAGGATCTCCTCCCAAAGCATTCCCCATCTAGACATCCAGTATAGGTTCACATGGGCAGGAAGACTGAGATGGCGCCCCAGTCCAGACTCGTCAGCGCGCTTGCCAGCCCAGTGTACAATGCTGTGGCCCAAATGTGCACAGCTGCTCCTATGAGAAAAGGAAATAACAGACAAGCATCAGCACAGACATCATTGTGACACTTCCTGATATAACCCTTGTCAGCGTCAGACTTCCAATGACCCGTATTCACAATCCTGTCTACTGACAGGCCCCCAGTGTGCAGCCTTTGCAGCAGCCCTATTCGGAAGGAATGAGGCGTGTTCAGCGGTAAGCAAGCCGCAGGCCGTAATAACTGGTGCACGACGTAAGCACATTAATGCCTGGCTAACGGGAACCCATTTTCATGTACTAGGAGTGGGCCAGCCCCCAGGGGAATGAAAAGCCAAATTTTTCTGGTATCCATAACCGGGCAAGGGCCCTCCTCACCTGTGGCAGGAAGCCTGATTGTGGCACTCCTGCCCACTAAGTCTGTTTTAGAGTTCCCAACTCTAATGACAAGCTGCAAAGCCAATAAGGAAAAGTCCTGAAGCAATAAGCCTCCAGACTCTCAGCCTTGTGCTGGCTCCAACAACCATTTTCCCAACCCTCAGTGCACCAAAATGCAATGGAATTCTGAAAGGAGTCTCGCCTTGATCTTTTACCAGCAGACAAGTTTTAACTTGTTGCAGATACTGCATAGGTAAAATTGACCGACTTCCTGCCCACTGTCCTATGAGGTTGGAGCCT